TGAGAGCAGAATACTTCATCAGAGGAACAGGCGAGGAAGGGTTCTGTTCACGATCTCAGCAAAAGCTAATATACTGATTTTTTAAAAATTTTACTATTGCCTTAACTGGTTTGGCTCAGTGGATAGAGCATCGTCCTGCAGACTGAAGGGTCCCAGGTTCGATTCTGGTCAAGGGCATGTACCTTGGTTGCAGGCATATCCCCAGTAGGGGGCGTGCAGGAGGCAGCTGATCGATGTTTCTCATCGATGTTTCTAACTCTCTATCCCTCTCCCTTCCTCTCTGTAAAAAAATCAATAAAATATATTTTTAAAAAATCTCACTACTAAATAAAAAAGATCAATCCAAGGAGTTGAGTTGATATACAGAACAATGTTAGGTAATGAACATGGGTTGATAAATTATGAATAGCAACATTTCGTAAAGGAGGTTGCGTGCGAAATTCGTGAGCAAGTGTCTGCCTTCCCTAACTTCAGAAGCTGGTCTCAAAGACAAAGGCCTTGAAACAGTTTAGTGCTTAGTGTTCTTAGCACAACAATGCAACTTAGTTCACAAGGAATTCTGGCAACTCTTTATCTGAGCAAGAATAGGGGCTTTTGAAAAATAAGGCTTTAAGAAAGCTTGTCATTTTAGGGCTAAATTTTAATAGAATGTGAAAGTTTGAATCCTTACACTTACTTTTTTAAATAAAACCTAAAAATCACTGATTGGTTCTAAACGCTTTTATGGAAAAGCTAATTTGGAACAAAACCTTGGCACTGAGTGCGAAGGCTCCATGGTTTTTGAGCAAAGCATACAGGGCAACGGGGAGAGGGCCCAACACTGACGACAGCAGGCGTTTTCTCTTCCTCTTCTTGGCGGGCGGCGGGCAGAGAACGGCTCGAACACTGTCTTGAGGCCTCGCTGTGTGAGAGCCGCCAAGCACTCCAGGCATTTTACAGCACCGAGCTGCTTGGCCATGGCTACACCCTGCAGGTAGGTGGTGGCTGTCAGCTTCTTCCCCCTCAGTTTCTCAATCGTGTCTTTATCATCCCTAAGATCAAGCCTGGTTCCCACCAGGAGGATGGGAGTGTTGGAGCAACGGTGTCGAACTTCAGGTACCACTTTGCACGAACGTTCTCACATGATGCAGGACGCACAAGAGAAAAGCACCACAGTGGGGCTATATTCTCCGGGAAATACACTGGTAGTATCATGGCTGCAGGCCGCAGGGCATGGGGTGCGAGGCCCACTGTCCATGCCGCCTCATCCTCCAATGGGAAGCTGAAGCCCAGCAGCGGCCACCACCCAAAGCTGGAGAAAACTGCCTCAAAATTCTATTTCTGATACAGATCAATTTTCTACCCACAGCTGCCGTCAGGAATGGATAAAGCGCAGCTTTGCTCTGCTGTCAGCAAAATACGATACCATATCCTTCACCCCTGCCCCACCCTTGCTCCACTCAAGGTGCTCTGGGCCCTGCCTGCATGTAGGTCACACTAAGCGCACCCTCTGTGGCTGCTGTAGCTGCCTGGTTCTACGGCCCTCCCTTTCCCTCTCTTTGGCATGGTCTGCTACCAGCCACACCACCAGGCAGACGCGCAGCGTCTTCACCACCACTAACTGCACTGCCCAGCCAGGCAGGGTCATCGGTGCTGCAGTACGTGCTTCAACACGGCCACGGTGCCTCACGGACTGTAAAAGGGAATGAAGAGCCCGGGAGAGTCTTTTTAAATTACATCCGGAATAAACATAAACACCAGGATCGTGTGGAATCGGAAGTGGCATCACCCTAACGTGAGTGAAAACAAAAACAGAGTGTTTGTTTCTCAAAACGCGGTGGCTCCTTTCACACGCCGTCAGCATGCTTTCCATTCATACACAGGTCCCTCTGGAGGGCAGCTTTTACAGCGGTCGGTCACTGTCGGCCAACACCGCTGAGAGCCTGACCAAAATGCGAGGACATCTGTCACACTCACGTCTGACTTCCGAGCTCCGCTGCACACTCAGATCTCAACCATGGCGACACGAATGTTCTGTGAAACTATCCTATGGTGCTGTGCATTCCAAAGGCACCTTTACACATGGACAGATTCTATTTTACCGACTCAGTGAAGTATGTGTGATGTGTACAATCGATAGATATGAAAATCTCCTGTGGGTATTATACACGGGCACAGCTGTTTTCTAAAACACGAAAATGAGGAGCAGCGCATTAAGACTGTAAACCAACGTGTTCTGTCCAGGTACCATCTCTCTGAATATTTACCATGAACTCTCTCCGCGAGTGCAGCAGTACAAATAAAAGGTCCTAAGTGTCTGTGCAGCCAGGGAAGTTTTCACTGTGAAGTAGAGTCGGACACTGAGGAATTCAGGGAGTTTTCCTATGACGTGGGCAACTGGCATCACCCAAGCGCCTTTCCTCTCCAGTTTCCCCTGGAGACTGCAGGCTGCTACCTATCTCCGCGGGGCAGAGAGATCCTACTCCACACAAGCGCTTGCTCGGCTGCAAAGTTTTATCTTTCCCTTTGTAATTGGAAACAATACACATTAGGTGACGGGTCTCTTTGTGCAGCACCTGTGAGGATCACCAGTGATATCAGAACAGGAAACAACAGCGACTAGTACTTGACAGGAGGGCCGATCCCAACCACCCGCACTGAGAAGAGTTTCGTCCTGGTGAGAAGCTGCCTCCCTGACAGCTGTCGCCATTCCAAGTCCCCTCTCCTCCCTGAACGCCAAAGGGAACTGCACAGGGGGGCAGTTTGGTGTGGGAAGATGGAGAAGATAATTTGTTTTTTAATCTAGACCTGAGGGGCTGGGTAGCAGATATGAGCAGGAGACAGGGGGTCTCTGGTAGGCAGCTCTGCCCAGTTCTAGGGCAAAAGACGCCACTATTCCTGGGCATCCCTGCCACTGCTGATCTCCGGGGCAATGAGGTGCGCGCACACACATCCACGCCCTGGGGACCAGGTGAGGACTAGAAGTAGGCCCTGAGATGGCCAAATGTTAGAGGTGACAGGGACACATGGTCTACACGTGGAGAAAAGGAAAAACAGCAAAGAATGACAGCGTAAAATACAGGACTAGGCTGAAATGGATATGGAAGACTGAACGTCTGTTATATTTATTGCCAATACTGACTGAAAAAAAATTCATTTTATTCTATGTGCCAGACACTTATAGAACAGTCTGATCTTATGAATCCTATTTATATAGACCAGAGAGCAGCTCACTTTTTCTTTGAGGGCTAAGTGTTGAGTGTTGTAGGCTTTGTGTGCCGTACAGTCTCTGTTGCACCCACCCAGGTAAAGCAGGAAAGCAGCCACAGGGACTAGGTAAACAAATGGGCATGGACGTTCTCCAGTAACCGGAGGCCAGTGTGCGAGCTCCAGATACAGCTCAGGGGTTGGCAAACACAGAGCTGGGCCAGATCCGGCCCACCGTTGGTTTTTGTAAACAAAGCTTTATTTCTTTTATCATCAAGATCTAGCCCAGCATCTAGACCAGTGGTTCTCAGCCTGTGGGTCACGACCTCTTTGGCGATCAAATGACCCTTTCACAGGGGTCGCCTAAGACCATCCTGCATATCAGATATTTACATTACGATTCATAACAGTAGCAACATTACAGTTATGAAGTAGCAACGAAAATAATTTTATGGTTGGGTCACAACATGAGGAACTGTATTTAAAGGGCCAGAAGGTTGAGAACCACTGATCTAGACTATTTCTAGACAGTGAAGAGGAATGCGCCGAGCTCAAATAACGCCCTCGTTTCACAGAAACACTCTCAGGAGCATAGTGCTCTTTGTTCTAACCTTCCTTCATTCCTAACTTCCTAGTCTGTGGTCAGTGGGGTCCAGCCCTCCAGGTGGGAGAGCCCTGATAAACCTGGTGCCTGAGGTCACCTCTCACTGCGAAGGATCAGGGCCATTCTGCGCCACCGACCGGTAAGTGATTCAGTTTCTGGGAGGTGAAGGATCTTGGGCAGCTGAATAGATAAAAACGGAGATTCTTAACCTAAAAAGATGGTGACCACAGATTGAGTTTGTGGTGCCATGACGATGAGTTAGTTAATTCACCCATTCTAATATTTTATGTTAATTCTCACCTGAGAATATTTTCCCATTGTTTTTGTTTGTTTTAAGAGAGTGAAAGGAAGGAGGAGGGACAGAGAGAAACATCAATGAGAGAGAGAAACATCAATTGGCTGCCTCCCACACAGGCTCGACGAGGGCCGTGTGGGGATGGAGCCTGCAAATGAGATACGTGCTCTTGACTGGAATTGAACCTGGGCCCTTCAGTCTGCAGGCTGACACTTTATCCACTGAGCCAAACAAGCTAGGGAAGTGGTCGGCAAACTGCGGCTCGCGAGCACATGCAGCTCTTTGGCCCCTTGAATGTGGCTCTTCCACAAAATACCATGTGCGGGTGCGCACGTACAGTGCGATTGAAACTTCGTGGTCCATGTGCAGAAGTCGGTATTTGGTGGAAGAGCCACATTCAAGGGGCCAAAGAGCCGCATGTGGCTCGTGAGCCACAGTTTGCTGACCACTGGGGTAGGGCATGCTAATATTTTATGGTGTGCCCACTCTGTGCCAGGCAGAAACACATATGAAATTCAGACTGAAAAGACTTATAGCATGTGAGTAAATACTTCACATAGTGCAAATCTATGTTGCTATTTATGACACCATAAGACTTGAGCCAGAACACAAACCACTGCAAGCAAACAGACTAACACAGACAAACTGTGTTGCTTTGATAGCTACCGAAGTGAGACCCCCCCAGACAAGGGACTCTGGCTTCTTGTCAAGAGTTGCAGCTATGGGAGAACTTGTAAGATCTGGGAGGACAGAGACCATCCTGGCTCAGTGCCCAGACCCGGGAACTCCGAAACGATCTGTCATCCGTATTACTGTGGATCACCTCCACAGCTCCTGACGAGCTGGGCTGGGAAGGCCCAGCTTAGAAGTCAGATTTTCTAATTCACATTATCAAGAGCAAACACTCCTCCATACCTGGACGGTCTGGTAATCGGAAGCATCGATTCCTTTCACAGTCACCTCTCGGAAGACTCTTGGCTCCAGCTCCTCTTTGGTGAGATCACAGTGATAAATGATGCCTAGAAGGAAGCGGAAGTCTACGTTTAGTCCACGAACACACCAGACACAGGGGGACAAGGATCACAAAGCATAATCAGATGCCATGAGGAGTGGGAGGAACATCAGGGAGCATGAGAAGAGGGAAGAGTTAACTGTGGAAATATAACAGGTCTGCTCCATGCCAAGTCACATAGGAGCACAGGCAAAATAACATGGGAAATTTCACACAGGGCTGTTATGTCTGAGAGCCGATTACGACGGAAAAGACAAATGAGTGGCCCAAAGTCAAGAGCCAGTCAGGGGTCTCTTGATGGCAATCTGGGGCTCTTGCTACCTACCTGCCACCCACTCATTCACAGACACACAGGTGGACAGCAATCAGGGACCAGAGATGATCGGGGAGCCATTCTCAAATTGCTTTACAATTTTGATTATCCCAGTAATTGTGCATAACACAAATTGAAAAATATGCACCAAGATTTCCAGCTTATTTAACCACTAATTAAAATTCTATTTCCTGAATTTAATGCTGACATTTAACAACTAAATCGGAGGAACAATAAATAGGACAAGTCCCACTGTTTGAGAAAAACAACACTGCTGTGGTTTATGAAACAGAATTAGTCATCCAGAATGGCTGGTGTGGAAACAGCCCTCCCACGGAATACTTTACACATATACTGTCAAATATATGAAAAATCTGCTCAGTGATCCCCATGCTTGCTGGAAAACCAGAAACCAAACGGTGCTCCCACAAGACACATTCTAAATGACTGATCTGGAGTAAAACCGTGGCTTGCGTTCTTCTCAACTAACAGTTGAGAAACATACTCTGCCCCCAACTGGCAAAGAGAAGTACATTTAGATTCCTTAACAGCATGACTGCTAATCCTGACGAATGTTACCCCAATCATCACGCTTACAGACACAGTGTGTGAAGGCACGATCATAGGGTGTATGATTAACATCAACAGCGGGGAGATACGTAACATGATTCAAGTATTGGCTTTCTTCGGTATGAAGTATAACTTAAATACTTCCACGCTGCACTCTGGGCATACGCTGAATTTTCCTAGATGAATGTCATCTTGAGGGAAGTGTCTATCTTCAGATTTATGTGAATTGTGGAAAAACTTCTTGTTCAGTGCCTGCTCCCCTCTTTCCCAAAATACACAAACCATCTGAATCTTTGAAGAAAAAGACGCCAAACCACCAAACAACGACAAATAGAGATGGCAGACCAAGCACGTACCCCGTGAGCACCTGATTCGCCCTGGCATCACCGCTACCTCTAGTGCAGTGACTGCCAGGGACCCGGGAGCCAGGACTCCCAGTGCTGACAGTTACTGGGCCAGTGAGCTTAGACAGGCACCAAAGGACTAGAATGCACATTCCCTAGTGAAATAAATGAATAGAAAATACACTCTAAATGCCTGTTTATCCAGAAAAAAGAAATTCAGACATTGAATCCTCTAACAGTGGAGTGAAGTAAGTATACGACAGGGGCTGGCTACTGCCTGATCCCTATTCCTCTGTCTTCTGGGAAGAGGCTGTGTTAACCCTGAAGGTACCACTACTTAATATAGTTAGTTGATCAATACTTTCTATTTACATATTCGCATATTCACACTGTAATGTAAATCCTTATAATGTAACGATGATTGGTGTCCAAGTACAAGTGAAGGTGGGGTTTGGAGAAATCTTAGATTCATGAACCAGAAAGGACTGGTTAGGTGATCTCTAGGAAATCAATTTCAAAATTTAAGGGTGAGAGAGAGATTTGGTAAATGGGAGTCCCTTAAGGTGTCTGGACTTGAGGAGATGGGTCACTGATGAAAACAAGGCAGGCTGGTCAGCTGGGATAGTCCTGCTATAATTTGAAATAAATGTACAGAGGTGAAAGAAATGGGAGTTAGGAGAAGGGGTAACTCTGAGAAACTGTGAAAGAAGAATCAGAAGGATAAGAAAGACTGGGTATGTAAAGAAAAGGCAAAAGAACTTTGCAAAAGATGACCCACGTAGGGACTGTTTTGTCTGATTGAGGTTGGGTTTTAGGGTTTTTAAAAGAAAAAAATAAACAAAAACTAAAACAAGTCTCTTTAAAAATGTTGTGCTCCTTGGTATTTTCTTAACAGAGTTGAAAATGTATTTCTGCCCCCACAAAAGCTTGCTCATGGATGTTTATAGCAGCTTTATTCACGATTGCCAAAACTTGGAAGCAACCAAGAGGTCCTTCAGTAGGTGAATGTGTAAATGGACGATGCTACATCCAGAAAATGGAATATTATTCAGTGCTAAAGAGTAATAAAGACACGAGTATCCTGAAATGCATATTACTAAATGAAAGAAGCCAATCTGATAAGAAGCCAATACTGTGTGATTCCAACGATATGACATTCTGGAAAAGGCACAACCATGGGGACAATAAGATAAACAGTGGCTGCCAAGGGTTGGGACATGGGGTGGGTTCAAAAAGCAGAGCACAGAGGATTTTTAGCGGAGTGAAAGCATTTTGTAGGATATCATAATGATGGATACCTGTCACTGTACACTTATCCAAACCCACAGAAAGTACACCACTAAGAGTGAATCCTAAGGTAAGTTATGGACTTGGGGTGATCATGATGTGTCAGTGTAGGTTTATCAGCTGTGTAAGAAATGTAATACACTTGGAGGGGTGCTGATGGTGGGAGAGATTATGCATGTGCAGGGGCAGAGATTATATGGTAAATCTCTGTACCTTGCCCTTGATTTTGCTGTGAACCTAAATCTGCTCTAAAACTCTTAACACATTTCGTACCGCTCAGGAGTTTTCTCGTGTTTCGCGCGCCATCTGTTAAGGACCGCTCACGAGTGTTCTCGTTTTTCACGCCCATGGAAAAAGGAGCGAATCTAGATACTTATGTAAATTTTGTGTGGTCCCTCTTCATAGAGGAAAATATTTTACGCAGTACCATACGTTAAAAAAATACTAGGAACTTGGTTTGTTTTTGTAAATAAAAATGTTATAATTATTGAAAAAACAACACCTACAGTGCATTATGATGATTTAAATAACGTGCAGTTTGCCCAAAAACGTGCAGTCCCTGGCGTATGTCTTAGAGATTTCTATGTGGTATGCAATGTGTTAATATATATATTTGCCTTTCCCAAACGGTTTGAGAAGGTTAATTTCTGGTTCCCAGAGCCATGCACTGCTGTATAGGATTTTTACAATGTGCAAGTCTGTCTGGAGCTCACCTGAGACAACCCTGAGGTTTCATGAGTACAGAATTAATCGGCTTGACAGCTAAGTGGTTCGAGCCACAGGGAATAAGAGCCTCGTGTGTCACGCTGCCCAGGCCGCCTGTTTTCTCCCAGGTGTGACTCAGGATACCAAACTCCTAAATGGCTTGGGCATAAGGCACGTCTGCACAAGGCACCTCTGTGGGGACCACAGTCAGCTGTGGCCTGCACCTGCCAGGTGGATCACACGTCCACAGCAGCTGGAGCTGCAGCGCCTTTGGGCCCCGGGGCTTTGCTTCTAATTTAGTCAGCTGTAGTGGACAGCTAACCTTCAGAGGCCGGAGCGAGACGGCCTTTAAGGTGATGTACACATGCTGACAATTAATTACACGGCCATTCTTACATCTGGGCCAAAAGGCCTGAGTCTGGAAGTCCTGTCCTTTGGTTTTAGATATCAAATTGCATTAAGGAGAGAAAAAAACAAAGCTGGAGGCAAAATGAAGAAGAGAAAAAGGAGAGGAACAAAGCATTACAGCCGCAAATGGAAGCTTTTTCAGAAGCTGCCTGGCACTGCAGAACGAAGAACACGCTTCTCTTTTCAACCTTCACAGCCACGGTCACGGATAACATTTCACTGCTTGGCACAGAACCCACCATTCTACACCGGGACAATGAGTCCTTTCTTCCCCAGTAACGACGAGCTTGTTCCTGTAATAAATGGCCACGTGGGGTCATGGAAGGAGGTTTACGGGCCTCTGGTGACTCTGGCTTTTATTAAGTGTAGGCGAGTCACCCTCTCCCCTGTCCTTCTCAGCCCTTTATCCATTTGTTTCAACTATGCGATTTTCCAATGTTAAACTTCTAGAACCGCTGTAACCTGAGCGAATGAACTGTGGACCCTGCAGCAGTGGGTTGGGAATGGCTATCTGGAGGAAACTGGCTGTTCTTGGTTCCTGTCCATTAGCTGCCACTGTACCTCAGTACCCAGGGGAGAGAGGTGAGGCACAGGACACCCGTCCGTCCCCGACTCCTGGCCCTGGTTTCCACATCCTTGTGGGCACTTTTCCTGGGCCCCCTAGATCTTCCGAAAGGCACATAGGAAAGTAAAGCTTACTAGGTGTGCCAGGTATGCCATCAGACCTACTTACAAAACAGCACTCTGGATTTTAATAACCCTGAGAGCAACCTGCCAGATGATAAGGTTCCTATGAATGGCTTGCTCTGTAACTCCGAGGTGCAAAAAAAAAAAAAATCAAAAGAATGAGGCATCACCATCATCTGGCCAAACCCCAGAGCCAAGTCAGTACCTACCCAGCTCTCCCCTATCTGCTGTACCTGCCAAGGATAAAACCATTGCAACAAAACTGGGTAGGACCAAAAGGCTATGGAGGAACTTGAAAACGAACAAGGAAACGTGCACAAACTTTTTCAGCCAGACTGATCTCAGGATAGGGCCTGCTCGGTCCAAGGCAAACTGCCAACTGAACCAGGCTCCTGGGACAAGTCGGAGTACATGTATGGCTTCGGCAATTGCAAAAACAGCCAAGTGGAGAAGCAAACAAAACCAAAACAAAGCAAAAGAGTGTGACTGACTTTTTAAAAAGTAAAAAAGACAGCTCTGTTGACTTTGGGTAAAATTAACTACATGAAATTTACATGAAAAGTAAAACTACAATCGATGAGCATTTTTCTTTGTATTAGACCAAATAACTTTTTTTCTATATGATGCATGACTATATTTTTAGACTTATCTTTATTCAGTTTAACAACTGCAGGATTTATTCTTAGTTTATTCTCGAAAACAATTGTAATGTCAGATGTGAGTACAGATTTTTATTTTAAGCTTTTAGTTCTGTGCACGGTGACTGCCCTGGTCCATACAGACCAAGGCTGAATCTAAGATTATACGTGCTCCTGAGAATTTTTTTCATCAACCTAGAACAACCATTGGTCCTGTCCCCAGAACAGAGACTCAGGACTCAGGACTCAGGACACAAGATTAATGACGGTACAGTTTCGGCGGCTGCATGTCCCTTGGTTCTGAGCATCTGTTTTTCTGTTTTACTCCCATGAAGTGATGTGGCTGTAATACAGCATATGTGATTTTCAACTTCATAGCATTATATTCCCGTTTCCCCAAGACACCCAAACACTGGGTCTGGTTTTGGGACCGAGCCGCACTGGTGGGGAGGCTCACCTGGAGACAGGAAGGAAGTGAACTGGTAAAAGATCTCGGTGTCCTTCTTCTGCCCGCTGTAGCCCACGATGCTGCCCACCTCGAGTGGGAAGGTCTTCAGGAGGGCGCCCGTGGCCAGGTCGTGGAGCTGCAGCGTGTTCTTCACGTCGTGGAGGTAGCACAACACCAGAAAGTTAGCCCTGACGCAGGCTACCCATTCTGAAAAGACAAGAACAGACAAAGCCTCAGGTGGTTTTGCAAAGGCGAGGACGGCACACCTATGTCACTAGACAGTAGTTCTGGAGCTCCAGGGTGCTATGCAGCAGTGCGCCTGGCAAGGTGACTGTACAACTGCTTTCCATCGTTCACCTAGCGTCCAGCAGATTCTCTTATCGTGACTGTCACTATGGTGTCTAGAGGAAATAAAATACTCTCCACCTCGGGCCAGGGGCTGTGATTACCCAGATAATGTGTGTACTATACATAACCTGCCTACCTACTCTGTGTTCAATATCATGCTACAGGAAATATAAGAAAGAAACAAAAAACAAATCACAATCCATTTCCGTCAGGGTTGTTTATTCGACAAAAATGTATCAAGCCTTTGGAACATTCCAGGTCTTCTGCAAGGTGCCGGGAGACCAGCAGGAAGATGACGGCACCTCTGCCCTTAAGATACAACCATGTAAAAACACAGCTAGTAATGTGCAAGCAAAGGTGAGTCACCGGCTGGCCGCAGACCCAAAAAAGTGATGACCACCGGAGCTCTCACCCGGCTGGTTGTGACCACAGCAAACCCTTCCCTCAGGGAAGACACACAGAACTTTCCCAGCCACAAGCCAGCTGCTCCTTCTCCAATGCGATTTTTTTTTTTTTTTACAAAAGTGCCTCAATCAAGTAATCTATTTCATGCAGCCTTAATGCTTTACAGAAAGTAGAGAGAAAAAACAGAAGTAAATTACTTGTCAAGGAATCCTTGGTGTTAACTGCAAGCACATCAGAATTATACAACAGACAAAGTGAAGAAGAAAGGACAAGGAGATTTGCAGGCGCCATCAATAATAGCTCTGACTTTATGGCTGTGCTTTATGACTCATCGCTAGTTTTTATTCTCAACTGGGCATTCTGTGCTAATGATAGATAGCAAATTCAACTGCGCTTCCCTCGGATTGATGAGTTCTAGGGAATATTGAAGGTTTCCCCTTTCCAGTCCAAGGAACTTCTAATCTTCCAGAAGGAAGGTTATAAAAATATATCACCCCCAAGTCTCGGAGCAGCGATCTGCATTTCATTAGGTGCACAAGTGAAATAGGATGTCACCTTAAGGCAGAGCCAAGCCACTTTTAGGGGGGCTTTAAACGGCAGAAAAGTCACATGCTTTGGGAAACAGCTAGGTCTCTGAGAGGTCCCCATTGAAGAATCACGGATCCAACCTGCCCTGCGTCTGAAAGCCACTCAGGACGCCCTGCAGGAAGGCTGGTGCTACCAAAGTCTCACTTGGACCTGCCAACATGAGGCCAGTTCACGTGGCACTTAAGTGGCACTAAACGCCCGGCTCTTACCACCCTTAGGGGGCACATTCTGTCTCAATTTGCACAGAAGCCACCAGGCAACCAGAATCACTACGCACCCAGTTCCTCACAGGAAGCTGTTGAAGGAAATGGCCAAAAACCTGTTTCTTGACCCCTCATCCAAATATAAATGAGGGCACGGAGTGAATGGAAGATTCTGGAGAGACAAGCGAAGGAATTTCCTTGGAGAAAGCCCAGTCATGCTGTAAGCCCCCCTCCCCACTGGGGAGACAGCACTGGTGTCCAATCCAACGCGAGAGGCTAAACGGATCAGGACTGGGACAGCTGGAAGGCAAGAGAAGGGGGACCGAGTACTGCAGGGAGAGCTCGGATGGGCTGCTGCCTTGGAGGTGCAGATGTGGGTTTTGTAAGAAAGAGCAAGCATGAGGTCCTCTCGGGTCCCGGCCAACACACCTGCCTGCAGGGCTGCGGAGACCTCAGGACCAAAGAGAGTGAGGGGTGCAGCCAGATGCCCAGGCACTGGGCAGAATCTCGAGCAAAGACCTAGAGCAGTGCTTCCTCCTGGGCCAAGGTACATGCAGAAGAAGGGCCCAGAGGGAGTGCCCCTGGGCCGCAATCCCCGAGGCAGTCAGCGTAACCATCTGACCACCTTTTCCCTCTACCTATGACACAAGGCCAGGTTTAAGTGCCTGCCAGGTGCAGAGCACACGGCCCTGAGCCAGGAGGGAGAGTCCCTCACTTTTCCAGGACTGTTGAGCTGAGACAGGGATACTATGCAGATATCAAAAGGATTTATTTTCCTACTTATATACCTTACACCTTCCCATTTTGAGGTGGCCCTCGCTCTTATACCCACTGAACCCATTAGCAGAAGTTCACCTCCAACCAGTAAATTCTTCATTAACTTGAAGATAACTGGACTCTTCTTTTGTGTAAAAAAACTTATAGTAAAATTAGTGAGTCTCATTCTAATCAAATCCAGCTTTCAGGCAATAAACCATTTATAACGCAGCATACCATTTGGGAACATCACAGAGAAAATGAACAAGGGAACTTAAGGGCACCCTGAAACAGGATGGAAACAGAGGTGAGATTCCTGAGAGGCTAATGGAGCTCAGGGCACACAGCAGCAACTGCACTGGATTTTAATTCAATCTGAAAATAGTTTACTCCTTTTCTAATAAGAGGACTGAGAACCACCCTACCCTCTCTAATAGGTATAATACAAACAGCCAAAGGTTATTCAAAAGCGAAAAGCTACGGCTTTTGAATCCAAATGGTTTAAAAATTAAACGTAAGTGATTATTATACTAGAGGTCTGGTGCACAAATTCATGCATGGGTGAGGTCCCTTGGCCTGGCAACCAGGGAGGGCGTGGGAGGGCTCCGGGGCATGTCCAGCCCTCTCACCCAGGCCTGATTCGCTGGACCCCAGCAGCAAGCTAAACTACCAGTCGGACGTCTGCCCCCTGGTCGTCAGTGCAGTCATAGTGACTGGTTGGACACAGCATATTACGTTTTTATTATACAGGATTATTACACAAAGACAACTAATATTTTTTTTAAAAAGCACCACCTAGAAAGTCTGGATTCATATCTTCACAATGATTAGGATGGCCCTGCATAATATTGTAGTCACCACAAAGACGTCCTGCAGTGCAAGCCTGGTGGCACTGTTTAGATACCTCGTGCCCAGAGCTCAGAGGCTGGAGGTTCTTTACCTTGTCGTGGGCCACCGGAGGACGAGAGGCAGACCAATCTGCTGACGCGCTCACCCAACACAAAAGCACCGCTCTCAAGCAGCATGCAGCCTTACCCAAGACATCCTTCTCGTGCTCAGGAACCAGCACCTTCCACTTCGACTCCTCGGGATCCGTGAAGTCGATGTTGATGAGGCGATAGTTGGGAGAATGGCGATTGGTCTTGAACGTGAACACTGTGCCCTCGTTCGTCACGTAGTCATATTCTCCTTCAAAGTTGTCGATCAGTTTCACCCACTTCAGGATTCCTGGTGAGAGAGCAAGCATCCTGTCACCTCTCCATGCTTAAAAGGGTGTGGTTTGTGCATGGGGAAGAGAGGGCAGATCTTACCTGTCTATAGAAAAAGTAGACACAATATTTGGAAGATCTAAGGTCTGAGAAAGAGTGAGGACAATGGGCACATTTTAAGGTTTTAAAACGTGTAAAGGAATTCCACCCGCCCCTCCCCGCCCCCCCGAAAAGCCTGGTAGATGTGAACGTTGCCCCACGGAAACTGGGGAATCCTCCTCCACCTGAGCCTGTTCCCAAACTGGAGCACCTCTCTCTACCTCTACTGCCCTCACACTGGCCAAGTCTTCACCAATTCCCGCTGGGTCTACATCAGGGGCTCTCAACCGGGGTCATTCCACCACTGTGCGGGACATTCAGAAATGTGTGCAGGCGTGGTTGTCACAACTTGGAAGGGGAGAGGAGGGCTCCTATTCGAGTCCAGTGAGAGAAGGCCAGCTAAAGGTGCTTGGCTCACAGGACAGCCCCGACGACAAAGAATTAGGCTGCCCTGGTCTGCAGATTAGCTCCCAGCCTGGCCTTCCCACAGCCACTCCAGACCTTCTCAATATTAGCGGCTGTAATATTACCACAATGTTGGAATATCCTGAACTGGTCCATGTTGGTGCCCTTCTTAAAAACGTCCCCATTACTCTTTGAATAAAATCGAATTCCTATTTATGGTCTCCCTGGTCTCACATGTCACAGTCCTTGCCCACTTAGCCAACCTCAGCTGGTTCCAACTTCCGCTGCACCTCTGTCCTTTGAGCCTTTGCTAGGCTCCTTCACACATGCCTCAAGGCATTGTTACAGGGCATTTCCTCGGCCTGGCTCACTCTCCAATGGCCAGGCCCCTCTTATCAGTACCCGGACCATTTCTTCACGGCACTTCTCTCAAGATATGTACCTATCTGCTTGTTTATAATTTGTCTTTTCTATTCAGAAGTTAATACTTAGCACCTAACGGAAGTGGCAGGTACTTCAAAGATGCAAAATAAAATTGGTCCTGAATGAAAGAAGGAACACTTCCCAGTCCCTTAGTGTTAAGAATTCGTCTAGAGATGGACATCACTAAAAAAATCATAAATGTGGCTCACTATTATCATTTAAATAGTTCACTAGATGCCACTTTTAATGTTAAAAACCTGCTTCACAATGTATCAGTCAGGGATGTTCAGAGTACATCTCACAAGTTTTATAAACAAAGAGTTCTATGACGTCTAAACTTCTGGAAGGCAATGCCAGATCTCAGCTATTCTCCAATTAATCTCCTGGCTTCAATTTCACAGTGAAATTACTACATTAATTTGGATAGTTCATTTATAGTCCCTGAATTTTTCAAGGCAGTTTTACATTTATTATCTCATTCATCTTTAGAGCATAATAACTTTATATAATTGGTTGTCAAATTAAAACTCATCAAAAAAAATATCCCATGATAAAAACAGAGTGAGTTTTTTGGTCATACAAAACTGCATTAAAACTGCAGCTCAACAATATTTAGTTGTGTGACCTTGAGCAATCTCTTTATCCCTTGATAAGCCTAGTTTTCTCAACTGTAAACTAGCACTAGCAAAAAGATTTTTAAAATATTAAAGTGACTTAGAAAACTATGATACATCTATACGATGGAATACTACGCTGCTATAAAAAAGAAGGAATTCTTACCATTTGCAATAGCATAGATGGAACTGGAGAGCATTATGCTAAGTGAAATAAGCCAGTCAGAGAAAGATAAATATCACATGATCTCACTCATTTGTGGAATATGAGGAACTAAAATAGAACCAGTCATAAAAGCATGGAACAGACTGTCCAACCTATGAGGGAAGGTAGGGGGTGAAAGGGGTAAGAGATCAACTAAAGGACTTGTATGCATGCATATGAGCAAAACCAATAGACACAGATAGGGGGTGGTGGTGAGGGCACGGGGGGTGGGAGGGGAGAGGTCAATGGGGGAAAAAGGAGATATATGTAATACTTAAAACAATAAAGAATTTAAATTAATAAAAAAAATTAAAGTGACTACTAATACCTACCTACTCCACAACAAAACCTCAACAAATATTTTTAAATCAATAATTAAAATGAAAACTAATAATAAGATAAGCAGTTTTTAAAAACCTATCATTTTCCTACACGCTAGCAATAACCAGTTAGAAAAAAATGGGAGGACTGGGAGAAGAGTTCATTTACAATAGAAGCACAATCAATAAAATGTTTAGGAATGCACTTAACACGAAATGTGGAATCTATATGAAGAAAGCTCTAAACTTTTTCTAAGGAATCTTAAAAATGACAATAGAACATACAAATCCTAAATAACTGAAAACACACACCATATCCCTAGATGGGAAGACTCACTATTTCAAAGGTGCAAATAATCCTAGAGAAAATTTGCCAATTTAACACAATTCCAATCAAAATCCCAATGAGATTTTCAATGAACCTGACAATATCATTCTAAAGTGCAGCTGGAAGAATCGGCACAGAAGGATAATAAACATGCTTTTGATAACAGAATGAGGAGGAACTTCTTGTTGCTACAATGCTCTGAACAAGCCCCCGGCCCTCCTGAAGGCAATCACCATCCTGAATGCTATGGTAATCCTATTTTTCTTTGTTTTTTTTCTGCCTTAATATGTATCCTTAAACACAATCTTACTTGTTTTTGAACTTCATATATAATGAAACATACAACATGTATTCTTTTGTATCTGACTTCTTTCACTTGACATCATGTTTATGAGATTTTTCACCCTCTGGACATTGTTATTGACTTTTAGCTAAATCCAATTGTGCTCAAAGAACATGCTCTGTCTGGTTTTAATCATTTAAAATTAGTTCGGAAAAGCTTTATGGCCTATTTTTTTTTCTTAAATGACTTTTAACTGCTCCTGTATGTGACTAAAAAGAATGTGTATTTTGCAGCCTTTGGGTGTGATATGTTAAATGTCTATTAAGTCATTTGTTAATCATTGTTCAAATCTATATATTTACTGATTTAGGGGGCCATTTTTTTTTCTATCAGCTCCAGAAAAGAGCTATTAAAATGCTTCTCTATGATTGTAGATTTATCTATTTTAACCTGGATTTGTATTAATTTTTGCTCTCTGTATTTTGAAATGATTTTATATATACACATAGATATTTAAATAAAACTGAATTGAATCTTTTATGATTATGAAGTTTTATTTCATTTGTAATGCTTTCTTACTTTAAAGCCTATTTTGATACTAAAACAGCCATATCATTTTCATGATAACAACTTGGGCCAGTTGTCCTCTGCAGAATGGTTGGTCCCAATTATGTAGCTTATCATTTCTAAAAAGATTTGCTCTTTTCCATATCTCTTAACCACTCACATGCTTTCCACCTCCTGGTGGGCTATATTCTAGTTGATTTCTTTATACTTATATTCTACTTTGTTAGTTCTTTCTTCAGCTGTGTCTAATCTTGCCTTTAATGTAATAACTGAATTTTTTAATGGTAATAATCATAGCTTTATTTGCAGAAGTTCTACTTAGTCCTCTTCCAAATCTGGTCATTTTTAATTTATTTATTTATTTTACAGTATCTTGTTTCTTGCTTTGCCACCAAGCTTCCTGTTTATTTTTTGTAAAAGCAAAACATTGTTTATTTTAAAAGTGTATGCACTAGTTTTACATTAGGAATCTGATTAATTCCATACTGGTGTTTCTGCTGGCTCTACTTCTCATGCTGGTAAATTTCTTCATTGCCTTTGTGATTTCTGTGAACTGACTCCCCTTGAAACATCATCTGTGGGAATTCTTACAAGCCTCAGTAGAAGTGGCACTCTTCCAGAGAAGATTGGCATTTGCCTTCTGTTTGCCTCTTGGGAGGCAACCAAACTGGGAGCTCTTTAAACTAAACGCTTGGTATGAGGATTTCTGGACCTCACAGGGCCAATCCAGACAACCTGCACACAGGTGAAGATCAGCCTTTCTCAAGTTTTAGGAGAATTGACATCCTGCCTACCCCTCCCCTTCAGCAGTGACAACGTAAAGATGGGCAGGTTTCCTTCTTACGCCCTCCCTCCGCCTCAACCCCCAACCCTACCTCTGCTAGGTTTATTTCTCCCTCATCCTGACACTGAGGGTATCTCTCATTACGCTCTCTACGTGGAGACCCAGAGCTTTGTCACCCACCCCCTGGCCCAGGTGGCCAGCAGAGGGAAGCTCAGCCGCAGGGCCCAGCAGACACGTTCAGGAGCAATCCAGGATTCCTGCTTTCACCTGGTCTTTGGTTCTATGGGTTCTCTTCTTCTGTGGCAACTCAGCAATAGTTAGAAGAGTGCTTTATAAAGTCACAGTATCTTAGTTGCTTCAATTAAGCAGCTATTCAGAATATATAATCTGACAAACTCCCTCAAACAGAAGTCCATACAATTAATTTTCATAAAAGGGTAAGCTCTGCAATTCAAGTTAGAATTTTATTTTCAAACCGCTAGCCTCAAAAACAGGTGACCACTCAATGGTAACCAACTTGTATCTTAGTTTACATAAAATATGTTTTTGTTTTTTTTAAAAAAAAACAACCCTAAAAATTATTCCTTAGAAGAATAAGTAAAAAATTAGCTGCCAATGCAAAATTTGTAGATAAACAGAAAGGTACATTTATATATAATAATAAAAGTGTAATATGCTAATTAGACCTTCGATAAAGCCAGGACTGCAAGGAAAGCCCGGGTCCCAGGTGCCTGCCAGCGGCCGGAGGGAAGCCGGTGCAGGCAGCCGGGGGGAAGGAAGACCTACTCTTGCACAAATTTCGTGCATCGGGCCTCTAGTTTATAATAAGAATCTTAAAACGTAATTTTCTGGACTATGACTTTTACAGAGACAGAATCTTGATTCAGGGAAATGTCAGATTCCTTAAGTGTTCCCCTGACAATAAAACACTTTGTAATGTAAAACCTTTAGTCCTCAAAGAACCATCTTAGTGAAAAGGTCTTAAAGCCACTGCAGTGGTATTTCTTATGACCCTACCCACCTCTGCAAAAAGTCACTGAAATATCCACCCAAAGCGAAACCCAGTAGCAACTTCCCCCAGGACCTGTTTAATCACCTGAGCCTGAAAATGCGGCACATGCTTTAAATAATCAAGCTCCACTGAACACACACACAAAATCAAAGTTTGTGGTCTTATCTGCCACCAAAGTTCTGAAGCATTAACGTTAGTCATAAATAGATACTATAAGTCATAAATTTATTCAGATTAGGGAAAGTGGCTGGATTTATACAAATCCTGCTGTAAATTTGAAAAGCAGTGGAAAGTACAGGCCTCATAAGGCAGCATGTTTAAGATGGGAGCTCACTAAATCCTTTTGCTTTTCTGAAACCTTTGCTCCTCAAGGGCTTTGGACCTGACACAATTCTAAAGAAATGGCATTTCGGATGAAGAATGGGGCTCATTCAGTTTTGCTATGCATAACTTAGAGCATTATTGATTTAAACGAAAAACAGAAAGATTACTTTAAAAAATAGACTGGCTAACCATCTCACTGTCTGCTCACCTTTTCTGAGGTTCCTCTGCCTGTGAGTGGCATTCTTCACTCTGAAGCCAACAGAATTCAATTCCTCAACTTCTCTACATCCAAGTTAAATCACTTTTTATAAACCTGCTTCTGGGTGGGGGAATGATTTGTTGACTGAGTGAAGATTAGCTTAAAGTAAGCCATCTGCATGCTTTCCTGAGAGTGAACTCATTGCTTTTATTGCTTTCTCTGAAAATCAATGGTATTAACTACGTTTCAAAAAAAAAAAAGGTTTTGCAGGCTCTCTAAAAACAGGAGCTAAGAAGTGTTTTTATACTTTACAAAGCACCTGACATGTAACAATGATAAACCAATGCCAACTGTGGGTCCTGCTCTGAATGGAGGGGACCAGAAGGCTGCAGCTCTCCTGGTCTGATGCCTTCCTTCCACCTCACCTGCCACATAACTATGGTTAGAACACGGGCTGGGAGTTCAACTGACATAGGTCTGAATCTTTAAATGGCATCAGGAAAGCGAACTGGCTACACCAACCTGTTTCCTAGGATAACAGCACGTGCTCCTCAGAGGTTTCTGAGAAGACAAAGAAATAACTACGTTTGTAGCTCAGAATCTGGCACACATAAATGCTAAATAAACAACACTTACTACTATGCCAAATAATCTGTGTTCTTCAAATGACAAAAATAAGCTGAATGTGGCTTCTGAACAGCATGATTTGCTAATAGTGAACTTTTAAAGTTCAATTTCCATCTCGCATGGCACACAGCTATTTTCCTAGAAAAAGCCCTTCTAACCCCTAATTTTAAAATTAGCAAAAATACTGACTTTATCATTGTTATTTATTTTACTTCAAAGTTCTTATTTTTATACTACCCCTTGATGTTCCTATTCTTTTTTTTCCCCCTTTGGCATAGCCACTCTGACACACACACACACACACACACACACACACACACACACACACACTGTTTTCTAATAACCCCTGCCCATCACAGGAGTCCTCTTCCTCTGTTGGTCTGGCTTTTAATGCTCAGATGACTTGGTTAAACTTTGGATAAATCATTTAAAGGTTCTTGAATGTTTTTCTCTCCATTTCCACTGTAACCCCCAAAGATGCCCAGGCCTGCCGGGCCTGAACCATGGGTCAATGTTGTCTCAGTTTTCTAAAAACAAGAGATCATCTGCTTTGCACTAGCCAGAGATGGCTGGATGTACAATGTAGGTGTCTGACAAATACTGAGCTTCCTTTTATCTTCATGGGCAGATTAATTTCTTATGTGGGAGGAGACAATTTTCATTAATGACATGAAAGCTTTAAAATAAAGACATGGGGAGCACTGAAAATTTCATCAACCTAAAATGATCAAACCTTCAGCATAAAAGGACAAAGGAGAGAGACAAGTTAATGAAAGTCTAGACAAAAGTACACAGTAAGCAGATATTCGCTTACAAAAATCAAATATGTTAGCACCATCCAACTTTTCCACCAAACACTTCATAAATGCTGTGACACGAAGACCACTCAGGCTCGCTTTTTTTAAGAAATTGATTTTAGAGAGAGGAAGGGAGAGAGAGAAAAACATCGATAGGTTGCCTCCCGTATGTGCCCAACCAGGGATTGAACCTACACCCTTTCGGTGCATGGGACAATGCTCCAACCAACTGAGCCACCTGGCCAGGGCCAATTTGTTTTTTAATTAGTTAACTTACATTGTTTAACAATAAGCCCACCTAATAATTTAAATATATAAAAATGAAGCAATAAATAAAAAATGAAACCAGAATTCTATGGAGAAAGAACACGGTAATTGGCATTCATAAAGAACTGGAGAAAGCAAAGTCCTATGCACTATTTTACAGTCACATGGGAATATTGTACAGGACAACAGCACAGTTTAACTGCTGTTATTGTTTCTTTCAGATTCTATATTCAGGTTTGCACAGTTCCATGTACACCTGCACTTGCAACTCAAATGAACAATTCTTGGGTGGTGGCCTGCTCCTGTCAAAGAATGTGCAACTGCTGTGGTTGAGCCAATTTTCTTGAGATCAAAATGGATATATCTTTAAAAAAAAAAACACAAACCCGTAGTTTTATTAAATGAAAGTATATTTAACACTAGCATAAAAGCTGTTGACTTCATCCTGGTGTATGTGTGAATGGCATCTGTGGTATCTAAGAATCTTAGGATGCGAATCTTACTTTAGAAGGTTAAAAATGATGCAATGACCAATCAATAATAAAGAATTTATATTATCTTACTATAATGTAACACACAATATAGACCAATAATGAGGTAATCAAATAACTAAACGTGCACTCAATATATTGTACAGTTTGAAAATCTAGGTCACCATCTCTAAAATATACTTATTTTACATTAACCAGAACATGGTATAATTAGTATGGGCTCTTACCTGCGTGCCAGCATACCTGATACAATTCTGGGTCTGGGAATTTTCAGCACAGTACGTCATGCAGTTGGAAAGCTTTAATGCTTGACAGTGGTATTGGTATGATTTAGATGTTGGAAGAGAATATTTAAAATGAGCCATCTCCAGAATTTGTGACTGGCTGGTGACTGGCTGGTTATGAAGCTTCAGGCAGGAAAATCAGGCTGTGATTGTGCACGTGGCTCAGTACTGAGGAGCTGTCCTATGATTATGTTACCTTGGTTAATTCTCACTGGTCCCCTCTCTCTTGTCTATGTCAGTTTGCCGAATTACGTCTAGACAGTTATACTGTTTTACAGACCAAAGGGCCAGCTTCTCCTTAATCCTCATCTGCAGTATTCGCAGGATATTTTACATTCATATGCAAAAAATATGGTTAACCTCAATCTACCGAGAAAATGCTGAAGCCAACAAATACGTTCATTCAGTTTTTCTCCATTTTATGGGATAATATGGGGGAGGAGGGAACAGATGAACTAAGACAATGTGATTAAATGGAAGATGGTTTCTTAGAAAATCAATTAG